TTGCCGGGAGAATCTTGCTGTTGTGGTGGCTCTGCTTAAACTGGAACTAAATAATACTGTTCCGAGTGTTAGGAATGACATCGCGACTTGCTTTGATGGCGCTTCGCATTGCATTGTATTTTCTATCATTGAGACATGCAGCCCATAAAACACGTATCGATAGCTCGTACCATGAATCAAATCTCGCCAAAGTCCCAGGGTTCCAGACTGGTCCACCATGTATACCACAAACCAACTTCCCTCCCACCCCGCCTTAGTGACGAGAGGCGCAATACAAATGAGGCAGAGCTTGCTCACCAGCTGGACCGTTTGCTGAGAAATTGGCAGCCGGTGTCCGTTTGTTCTCTGCGGTCAACCTAGGATAAGAATGTGCGAGTTTATATCACGATGCATCTAACCGCTTATAGGATTCAATCTCGGCCACCGCCGGGACAAATTGAAGGCTTCTCCATGCCATTTGTCTGTACAGGTTCGAAAGACCTCGTCATTGAGTGCTACCTCGTCGTGTTCGATCACATGATCGAACGTGTGATCGAACACGAACAAGTCTTGCTCAGCCACAGGACCATTGCGGAAATGGCATTGCCCGGTTTGTCCTTCGAGAGAGTGTCGACCTTATCAGCCCTAGGCGGAGGGGCGCTAGGGTGGTCCATGCTATTCCGTTGTTGTTCTAAGAATAAATACGGTAAAAGTGCTTGTAAGCCTCTCGTCCCTTCTCATACAGACTCTGGGGGTAGTTTCACCGAAGAGGTTGATCAGGCGAGATGCGAAGTGCTTGAGCTGACCAGGGAGCTCGGCATTGTTGTCCCCTACAGTCACGTTAAGCTTCCTTGCTCGAAGAGTTCGATGATGTTGATGATTGCTCGAGAAGCTCGATGCTGGTTGGTGGAGTCGAAGCGCCTTGGATCCCAGTGTAATTATTTGTTGTATTCGGCGTGAGTGGTTGAATGATTTAACTTGAATCTGTTACGTTATTATTACTCGCATAGTTGGGGGAGTGTTTAGTACCTCGGTAGTGGCAGCACCGGGCTGCACGGCCTCCGAAGGTGTTGTTTGTTGCTCTCGCCAGGAGTTACGCCCATAGTCAATCAGCAATTGAATTGCTGCAATTCCTCACCCGCCTTTATGTGCCTGACAAAGATCACGCTCTCACAGAGGATTCATTCATAGTCACTGACTATTAGTCAGATTCACTACTTCAATGATCTCATTGCTAACACAGTGGGAGTCGAGGGTAAGCATTTCAGCACGGCTGATTCGTCGACATCGCAGACCACATCTAATGTCTATTCACTGTACAGTGCGCGACTGAAGCTCTTGTTTGGCTTCATCGATATTCTTGCTCGCCCGAACCCCATTTATAAATTTATCATCCTTTTCGTCTGAGGCGCACGACTCTCCACTCCTGTCTTCACTTTCAGAACCTTCGAACCGATGTCCCATCATATCGTTGGCAGGAGAGGCTCTCCTGGAGAGCGGTGAGCGTTCACCCCACTCATTGAACGTTTCCGTTTCACTCCGCTTTGGGTAACCGAAGTTGGGTTCTCACTGAGAACTTCACAGCCGGGTGCCCCTCGCGTCTTGCCGTCCATCTCCAAGCTTCCACACCTACCTCAGGTCCAGGCGTCACCAGACATGGCCGTCGGACCGACGGCGTCGGTCATGTAGGATGAAGAATCGGATAACGCATATTCGGAATAGGCTGTTCCCCCTATTCGGCCCGAATATGGCGTTCAATTTGGTCACTAAATTTTGGTGAGGGACTTCGAGCAGATTGAGTCGATCTCATGATCAAAGAAGCCACATCCGCTGACAAGGATATCTATTTTCGGGACTTGATGCCATCAAGTTGATGGTACTCTTTGCTTTATGCTTTTCCAAAAAACCGGAAACCTTGTCTGGCGATACAACACTTCCCACACTCGTATCATCATCGTACATGTCTAATTCATTTCGCAATCATCAGCTCGCTCGAGTTCAGTATCCCCATGAATACTCGGCGCGTGCGGCAGCTACTACTTCCCTGTTGGTGCCACCTAGCTCTTCTCTGTCGATCCACGCCCTCCAATATGTGTTGCAAAGCTTCTGTAGATCAGAAGTGACCGAGAGATACTGGTCAAACTTCGCGTTAATCTCGCGGTGCGACACATCGAGTTCGCGGGTGTGAAGTCGTGAATTTTGCTGTGTGAACTGGTCACCCAGGCGTAGTGTACCGTGCTCTGTCTGAGCAGCTTAGACGAAGGAGCGCTAACGCTTGCTTGCCCCCACCACCCATTACTCCCGGATAACAAAGCATCTTGACCGAGATCAGTGACTTAACGTCAGAAAACTTACTTCAAGCTAGAAAGAATGGTGTAGGTAGCCTAGTATTGAACCGAGCGAACAAAGAAGTTCGGGGCTTACGGCAAGTTGATCGGCATGGAACCGGACCGTTTCAGCCAGTTCCTGCCCTGCATATGCTGTCATGGATATTAATGGTCATCAAGTCAACAGCCTCAAAGTTGAACATATCAATCGCGTTATAGCGGCATTTAACTTGTTGAAGCCTCGGATAGGTATCCACGTTAGGGAAGTACTGACTAATCCATTTACGTCCATCAGCCAAGTCGGAGTCGATGTAGTTCTGGTAAGCTGTACCGAGAGAACCAGGGAAGGCAGAGTCGTAAGTCTTCCGCAGCCACTCGAGCTTTCCAATGGGAGTGGCCTTGTCTTTTTCCCAGAAAACCAGTATTTGCATGTGCCACCCGGGCGCCCTGTGGTCAAACGAGGTACATTTGCCAGCAGTCTGATCACAGTCGTCAGGCTCTCTCGCCATAGCATGGCCACAGAAGTCCAAGAGAATTGCGCAATCGCGGGGAGAATGGCAGACTGGATCAACTGCAGCTTCCGCGAGAGTTCTGAGCTTCTGTACGCTCATGTCCTTCGGGAAATAGATGGATTTAGCCTTGTTTGGACCGCCGTTAACGCCTCTGTCGAAGGCCAGGCACTTGTCCATAGCCTCCTCCAGCTCCTCCTCGCTGCAGCTGGCAATGCCCTCAGGCGGATAGAAATCCACTCCAGGGTGGCCAGTGCAATCTGCCCAGAACCACATAGCCTTCCCAAAGTCCTGCTCGATGCGTAGAGGGCGCGGCAGCCCAACGACAGCTTCTAGAGTATCCAGTTTAGCATGGCAAGTTGTGCAATCACCATGGGCGTCGCAAATACACTGCGCACTGTATTGGATGTCACCGCCACCCAAGAACTTCCCAATCCCGAAGATTTCTGGGCCAGCAGCGTCGGAGTGCATGAAATCCTGGAAAACTTTGATCCTTCGAGCTTGCAACGAGGGGTCTACATCTGAGTTTTTGCCGGAAATCACGACAACGTTGGTGACGGGGAAGGTGTCGTAGCTGAGTGAAACTAATGCTCCATAGTTGCCACCCATACCGCCGCGCACAGCGAAGAGGAGATCAGAATGCTCATTGTAACCGGTAGCGGTGACCAACTCAAACTTGTCTTCCTCACGATTGTAGACGACAACCTCAGCAGCGATTACCCTATCCGCGCTTAAGCCGTACATGGCCGATGATAGGCCACGACCACCACCAGAGGCCAGACCGGCAACACCAACAGATGGGCAAGAGCCACCAGCGAAACCCAAGGGAGGATCATGTCGAGCAAGTCTTGAATAGACCTCTAGCAGTTTCAAACCAGAACCAAGCTTGGCAATGTATCGGCCATCCTCTTCAACAACCTCGAGTTCCTTCAACTCCGAGAAGCTGATAATAATGCCGCCGTTGACCGTTGACTGTCCAATGTAGGAATGACCAACAGTACTCCTGAGCGCTACGGGTGCATTTTCCTCGTAACAGATCCCCAAAGTAATGATTATATCTTCAGCAGAAGATACGTGAACCATAGCCGCCGGGACATAACCGCCGGCTGCATCGAATCGCGGGTTATAGGGCGGCGGGATATCCTTAGTTTGGACTTGCCACGGAAGAGCATCCACCAAGCGCTGAATAGCATCGATAACGTCAGCCAAAACGGATCGGGATATGAGCAAGGCTAATGCCAAACGTAGGGGGAGAAGTATTCGTTGCTTACTACACATCTGTTCATATTCACATCCGCACGTATCATCTGCCACGTGTCACGAACTTCTTCGCAATCGCGTTCTTCCGACCGTCTTGGACCTTGGGAAATGCGTCTTCATCACCGAGGAGTGAAACCTGATCGATTCGATCAGTCGGAGGAAGCCGCTGGGCCTTAAGCGACCCAAGCTGAATCATCAGAATTTCGGAATTTTCTCCTGAATTCCGCACCAATATCAAGAGGATTTACGAGATATTCCGCAGACTCTGCGGCGCAGAGCCTTTTTTTGGGCCCCTCTTTTATTTTCTGTGCCAACCCCGAGAGAGACTGTCAACAACTAAGGTATCTCGATACTACTGATTCTAATATCGAGTGCGCCTGATACAACTTTAATGTGAACCAAAATAGCCTGAGTTAGGCTATATAACAACATAGGCGACATGTAAGGACATAAGATACTTACTGTATGTATCTTATGTTGCTAGTGGCGGCAGGCGCCCATGTGACGCTAGTGGTTTCTGCTCTCCGTTGTCCCCATCGCAAACAGCGCTGGTGGTAGGAAACCCTCAGTGACGTTTCTGCCTATCCATTTCTGGCTCTGTAGACGCGGTAAACCTGCTGTGTAATACGGATGCGTCGCTCGCATGCTGAGGTCCTCATCAGGAGGATACTCGAGGTATCCCGTACACAGAATCTGTGTAGCGTACCATGGATAAATTGTATAGAGGTTGCTAAGCCGATCTGATTCAGACACTTTGGCAGAGTGGTTAAGGCGGCGGCCTGGTAAGCCGTTGGGCTATGCCTGCGAGGGTTCGTATCCCCCAGATGTCGTCTACCTAATATAGAAGTCCCCTGTAAAGGAATAGAACGGTACTTCGCTCGGCGAAGTAGCGTTAACAATCAGGTGAAGTCTTCAACACGAAGAATACCCAATACAGGATTCGACTCTACGGCCATCGGCTCCGTAGGCAGACATTCTCTCCAGTTGAACTGATCGGACACCTCAATGATATTAACCAACCCACTCCTCCTCCCTAGAAGTGAAGGTACCACGCAAACGCAGGTCGGTTGCAGCTTTCCATCCAAGCGTCTTCGAACTCGACTCGTCCCGCCCTGCCGATGATTGGAGTACGAGGCAACAGCAATGCAAAAAGGGACCAAGTCCAATACGAGACAAGACTTCCTGACCCCCACAAACGATCAGATTCGAACAGTCCTCGCTACTCGGCGACGAAGACGCACTCCTCGGCTCCGAAGGGGTTAATAAACAAAGCTCAATCGCCCGATTAGTTCAGCTGGATAGAATGTCTGCCTACGGAGCAGATGGTCGTAGGTTCGAATCCTGCATCGGGTATTCCTTCAAATCCTGTCGACGTTCCTTCTGCCCACGATGCAAACACGACACCTGAGGGATTCGGACCCTCGCGGGCATAGCCCAACGGCTTACCAGGCCGCCGCCATGACCACTCTGCCAAAGTGTCTGAATCAGATCGGCTTAGCAACCTCTATACAATTTATCCATGGTACGCTACACAGATTCTGTGTACGGTACCACGCAAACGCAGGTCGGTTGCAGCTTTCCATCCAAGCGTCTTCGAACTCGACTCGTCCCGCCCTGCCGATGATTGGAGTACGAGGCAACAGCAATGCAAAAAGGGACCAAGTCCAATACGAGACAAGACTTCCTGACCCCCACAAACGATCAGATTCGAACAGTCCTCGCTACTCGGCGACGAAGACGCACTCCTCGGCTCCGAAGGGGTTAATAAACAAAGCTCAATCGCCCGATTAGTTCAGCTGGATAGAATGTCTGCCTACGGAGCAGATGGTCGTAGGTTCGAATCCTGCATCGGGTATTCCTTCAAATTCTGTCGACGTTCCTTCTGCCCACGATGCAAACACGACACCTGGGGGATTCGAACCCTCGCGGGCATAGCCCAACGAAACAGCTAGCGCATGCGAGACGCTTGGTTCGAATCCTAGGCCCGGAATTCTCCGCCAAAAATGGTTTCTGCGCATATCTCACGAAGAAGAACTTCATCTTGTTGAATAGCTGTGCGACCTCCTCGAAGGTGCTCAGCAAATCTGGCTGGTGCGAACCCCAGCTTCATGTAAGTGTATGCCAAAGACAGATAATTCGCACGCACGCACACTCAGAAAAGCAAGAAGCGCCAGAATCATTATCTCTTGTCAACTTACATTTCCTCAACGCCAGCACCGATCATCAGAAACGCCTCGTATGGAGACGTTCAAGGCAAGTGACGATGACGCTAAGCGTGAGGAAATCTGCTGCGATTGGCTCGAGTATTGATTGTATTCGCTCCTGCATACCCAACGCGAGTAGTGTGGGATAGCCCCACGCGATCCGACTGTCAAACGCTCACACGGACAAACGTGCCATTGCATTAGGTTCAGGCCAATTGACATATTTCCTTTTTATTTTCGCGGTCAATTTATTAGGCAAGGTCAAAGCTCGACTGAGTTGTGAGACGTGAAGTTGTGAGATGGGGACGATACCTGAGTGTACCGAGTATCAGGCCCAAATACCCCACACTCCTTAATCAACCAAAACTCTCAACTTATGAGAATCAAACCAATCTGCGTATTCATACTTTTTCCTTCTCTAACGTAAAATTGATCGATTGCGATTGACAATGACTGTCCATGGTGGACAGACTGTCCATCTTGCGAATTGTGCCTAGGCTAGGCAGCCCAGCAGTGAACAGTATCCGAGGTTGACTCTAGCTGTTTGTACTGCTTTCCCCTCGTCATGGCCAAAGGCAACGTCTCGCAGAAGAAGAGGACGCTGGTGCGGTGCGCGACTCTGTTCGCCATGCCACCGCTCATTCTCCTGTTCGGATGGGGTTGGATAACGCTAGGTAAGGTGTCTTCAGTTCCTTCCCATTTTAAATCTTCTTGTCTTCTCAGGCGTTTCCTTGGGGCTTTCGGTGCTGGCTTGTTTGGCATTGATGTTTGCGAGGAGCTCGAGCGTTTCTCGATACCCTTTCCTCTGGCGATTGATTGTAAGTTCACGTTGAACTTGGGGCGAGCTTGGTGGTATGGAAACATAAGTAAATAAGCATGAGCGGAACAATCGGATCTTCGGATATGGTCGAAAGCCTCGGCATCATGATAAATTATAATGAAAACTCAGAAAATTTTCCGAAAATTTCACTGCTCGCTGATCCGAATTCACCGCAAATTTCAGGGTTTTCGGGGAGTTTCGAAGCCTTTTCGACTACTATCTCATTTCTGCTCAGGCATTTTATCTGATACAAGTGCTAGTTTGCGCGGTAGTCCACAGTATGGTCACCCCAGAGATGGACAGCAGAGCGAAATCTGTCTTCATGATGGCGCCTGGTGGTAAACTGAGGGGAGATGAGAAGGTCCAGGCTGGTGGTGCAGCGAAGCAAAAGGAGAAAGGTAGTCCAGGGTCTTCGATCGGTCGGTCGGGTTCGATTGGCTTCGTTATAAGGACGGCGCGTGAATATCGGAATTTATGGTATTGTATTTGCCAAATTATAGAATAGATTGAGAAGTTTTTCTTGTTTCTGTCGGGGTACGAGCGATGGAAATTATCTCGATGAGCTCTGGTTATAATCGGCAGTTTTTCGGATGCGTTTGTTGAGCGATTCCACCGCAGCGTCTTATGTCGGCCCGTGTACTCCGAAGTAGTTTATTTGCAGTTTATTTCACACCGATGTAGTTCATTTTTTGGTCGTGGAATGTATGAGTAACGAAAAACGTGGTATCTACGCTCACTCAGGTCCTGAAGATTTCGCCCAACCCGGCGGAGCCTTGCCTGGCGGATTCATGGCTCAACCTAAGATCAGTGTGGTAATATGAGGGAGGTGGCGGGGAGTCCATAATGGTACTCGCATCCGTCAGTTATTCGCTCGCATGAAGGTCGGTCTTGTCTCGCGGTAAAAATCCGAATGGCGTTTTCACGGTTTGATACTGCTTGGGCATGAGCTTATTAATGCGAGAAGCGAAAGCATTCTTACTACGGGTAAAGCGCACGAACCTCGAAATTTTGGTTCTTCAAGATCACCAGTGGTAATTGCTTGCTGGTATTTCTGAGCCGGATGAGTTTCGCAAAATGTGGTATCGAATGAGGGTTAGTTCCATCTCTTAAGTATAAAAATGGTATGGAATTCCGCCTTAGCAAGCTTTGATGCAAACGACCTTAATTTCGCATCCTCCGGCGCTCTGTCGGTGTCGGGCCGCGAAATTAGACGGATTTATTCTAGTGTCATGTCAGGTTCTGCCCTGCGCGAATGAAGGAGAATTTATGGTCAAAACTGCTCAGTCAATTAATGAGTTCACACCGGCGTATTCCCTGCATGAGGTTGTAAGTGCGGAAGTAGCATAAATCAGTGCGTACGAATCTGAGTTCGGGTTGCTGGGCAGTGCTGAGCGTACCGCGATCGACACGTGGTCAAATGTTTAGCGTGCGCATCCCTATCCGAAGTACTAAATTGAAAATAGTGGGATATTGCGATTCTCGGATATCCCGCTTTGCGAGGACTGCGAGGGGTGAAGTGTCTGTTCTGGCTCACCGATTTAATGCCGAACGGCGAAACTGAGGGGTTGAAAACTAGCGGCGGTTTTTCCTACTAGGAAGGAACGATGCTATTGGAGAATCTTTACGTAGTTTCCCAGGACATGCGAATGCATCTTCGGTACTCAGTGAGAAGATTTGCGAGTCAACCACGCAATGTTGTTACGATTTTGGATTTTCTTCTGATCTATATGGTGAAGATACGTCGGAGGATCTAGATGGTGTCAGGTTGTTGTTGATGACGGTAGCACGCCGCCTCTGAAGACACTTTTGACGGACGAACAACAAGAAAAGTAAGGGGCATGGAGTAGTTTTTACCGGAATTTACTGTTTTTTGCGGTAACTTTCTGTTTTTTCGGTAATTTACTGGTTGTTTTTCAGGTTAAAAATCACTTGGGTACGTCATGAGCACTTTACTGGTCTTATCAACGCCAAGAGCAAAGGTATTGGCTGTGTATGTGACGCTGTTGCGATGGTCTGAGGGAGAGAATCTTAGGTTGAACCTTGCTTGTTACGCAGGTGCTGCGGCTGCCACTGGTGATATCATCATCTTCTTGGACTGCCATGTTAAGCCGGCTGAAGGATGGGATAAACCGATCGTGGATTTCATAAAGAGCAATTATAAGAGTAATAACGGAGGTTTCAATAATTCTATCATTTCCGTTGGTCTGAAAGGGGAGATTGCGGTTGCTCGTGGACGCGCAATTACTGATGGTTGTAACGTCATATCTTATGTCGAACCTCGCATCTAACGGGGAGGTTCATGTTTATGTTTTTGATGGGGAGGCCAAGTATGAAAATCTCCGTTTCTGATTCAAAGTCGCTCAAGAGAATCAGCAGGAAAACTCCAAATTCACGTCTGATCTTGCAGATGAATTTGCTGCTCTCGTATCATGACGCTGCGTTTTCTTGACCGCATCTTTCTATATTCAGGAGTTGTTGTGCCGTCCATTACTGATCTCGATCCCGACACTTGGGAGGAGCATCGCGGAGGAGGCGGCATGTCCAAGTGCTATTTGACTTGGGATGCTGATTTCAAGTGGTTCACCTCGGATGATATGTAGTAATCTTGCTCTCTTGCATTTGCTCAACGCCAATGTATCAGGTATGTTCCGATCATGTCCGGTGGCCTGCTTGCGATGTCTAAGAAGTGGTGGGATGAGACAGGAGGGTATGATGAGAATATGCTCGGCTGGGGCGGAGAGAATATCGATCAAAGTCTTCGGATATGGTTATGTGGCGGGGAGATTGTAATAACGGGAAAGGCGAAACTCTACTCCCCTGGATTCTCACGCAAAATCCAACGTGGTTTTTTTTCTCAAAATGGCTATGTAAAATGCGGAATGTGTTTTCGCACTGTGGGTGAACTTTAACTGGCTCCTGAGATTTTCGGTTTTGCTTTCGCTGCAATTTTAACCATTTTGCATTTGCATAGCTGA